ACTGGACGTACCAGCCCTGGCTGAGGCAGGGCCTGGGTGTCTGAGCAGGAGATGGGAGCTCTGTCCCTGTCGGCGTGGCTCCAGCCTCGGGAGGCAAACCGGCCCCCGCTGCGCTGCGGGTGGGAGCTGCCATTGCCGGGAGGTTGCCGGGGCTAGTGGCCGGTGCCTTTGTCCTCCCAGCCGGGTGCCCCTGCGAGTGGTGGTGGCAGCTGAGACCTGACAGGAGCACTGGGGAGAGGGTGGGGGGCGCGGGCTGAGGCTGCCAGGCCCTTTGGGCAGTTCTGACATCTGCTGTTGCTTAAAGAGCTGCAACAGTATTTTTATAGCTCCTAATAAACTGCTGAAAATTGCTCTGAACACAGAAAAGGAAGATGTTTTCAGCCAGTAAAACCCCTGACGTGCCATGCTTCTCCTTCCAGGAACTTCCGCTGTGACTGTGGAAACAGCAAGTTCAAAAATCTGCAGTGCAAGTTGCTCCCAGTAAGTTCAGACATAAGTTTCACACATGCAGAATCAAAATAGTGGTCTTGGGAGGCTGGTGCCTTGCCTCAGCCAGTGCTGACTCGTGCAGTGCCTCCGCTTTTCCCAGCAAGTTAAATGAGGTGGGAGTGTTACAGCAGGAGATAAAACTGCTCAGGGACCAAAGGAAAATGTCCTGAGGAAAGAGGAGTGAGAATGTTTGATCCTCATCATCCGTGAACGCAGCAGTTTCGCCTCTGGTCGGTGTAATGCCAGAAATAGTAGTGCCTGCACTAATACATATCATTAGCTTTAAGCTGGCTTTTGGGGAACTTTTTGGGGTGCAGCTTTGCAGTTGCTCTAAAGAGATTTAAGGTTGTGCTGCTGTCAAAGGGAAGGTTCTGTTTGTTTTGGTGCCTTCATCTTTTTTGTCGATTTGTCCCCAGAGGCTACTGATGGGATAGTTTTAAGCCCCCTGTGCTTTCATACGCAGCGGGCACTTTGGGCTCATCAGCTAGTTGGTAATGTTCTGGGAAGCAGTGACAAGGAGCTGCTTGGCTTGCCTGCAGTGCTGCTCCCAAATGTAGTCCTGCTTCTCCAAATGCAGAAACAGCAAGTGGCTTTGTGTGTGCCCATTTTATTCTGGCAGAACTGGGACAGATGCAGAGCTGGTCAGCCTAGGGCTACTCAGCACCGATCCCTGCAGAGGCACTTGTGATGATTTTAAGATGCTACTGTTTCTCATTTCAGTCCACAGAATGGATCATGCATTTGAACTCCTCCTTCAGTTCAGTGTCCACAAAATCAGTGTTAGAGGCTGAGTGACCATCAGCATCTGCCCGTTGGCCTGGCCGACCCTGTGGGTGCCAGGGGCTCACAGCAGCTGTTCCTCCTTTGTCACAGCAGCCTGGGAAAGTGTTTTGTGGTGACATCAGAAATGGTCACAGATGTTTCTGCAGGGGCTGATGGTGGCCCTAGGCTACAACTACATGCAGTTCTGAAGCCCTCTGGCTGCAGCTGTATTAACTGCTTTTTTTTAAAAAAAAATGGGATTTCCTGTAATTGAATTTAATTCAGCATGTTTTGTAATATATATAATTCTCTCCTGTCAATTGAGGCTTTTGTGACGTGAATTTAGTGGAAGCTCAGTGGTAAGGTTAAACAAAGTTTGGTTTGGATCACAGTCTGGGTGTTTAAAAAAAAGGGATGGGAAGGAGCAGAGTAAACGTGCAGATGTTGCTACAGGGGCAGCAGGCAGGCATGGGTGGTGATCAAAACCCCTTCCCTGTTTTAGACTGCGGCAGCTTAACAACCACCACAGGTGCTGTTTGTTACAAAGGTGGAAAGACTGTTTTTCCTCTTTCCTTTTGAACCTCAGTATTCCTCACTGCCTTATCTGCTGCTCACCATATAGCATAGGTGCCTGGATAATATCCTTCTTTTTGGATTTTCAAGCTGATGTGTGTAACCACTGCTTTTAGGAATTAACGTGAAACGGGAATTGGGTTTTTCCAGATCTTTTCTGTCTTTTGTTTATCACTGCATTGTCACGTGAGACGTGTTTTCCATTCCTCCCAGGAAAAAGTCAAGGTGAATTCAGGAAATAAGTATAATGACAATTTCTATGGATTATACTGTACCTGTAAAAGACCTTATCCTGATCCTGAAGATGAGGTAAGAAATGGAAAAAAAAAATGAGCAGTAATCATACAGAGATGCTGTTTATGAAACACTCTGTGAAAAGGGCGGTCGCTGAGCTGCTTTGCAGGAAAGATCCCACTTTAAGAAACCTGACATTCCCTGTTTCTTTTGGTTGTCACGTGCTGTATAAAGTAACACTTTATCGTTCCTGTTGAGTGGTAGAATGTGTTTATGCCTTAAAGACAGGTGAGGAGGACAAACCATCATTTGGACAAGAAGATGCTGCAGTCCTCTGCTTTACTCTCTAAAGCTAGAAAGCTAAGGTTCCCTTAGGGAGTGGGGTTTCATTAGCTTGAGAAACATGTCAAGCATGGAATAAACACATGGCATGTGTCAGGAGGGACCAGAATCTGCTTCCTGGAGCCTGCAGCAGTGCTCTGCCAGGGCTTCTGGGGTGGGGAAAGCCTGTACTGCAGCACTGCCTTTAGCTCTCCTTCACAGCAGTCAGAGCACATCTCTGCCTGAGGCATTAAAATACAGCACTTGGTTTGCACACTCACAGAGCAAAGTGTTTTATAAACTCGCCTCTAAAGTTCAGGAATAGCTAAACGTTTCTAAAGAAATAATTGGTAGTTGTTTCATAACAGTTTGTACTCTACTGCATTGTGGACAGTTGGGTTAAGATTCTGGTATTTCTGTGTGAGCCTGATCATGTCATGAATATCAGTATCTTCCTTTTGCTAAGCTGCCTGTTCAGACAGTTCTGTTTACAGGAAGAAAGATAGCAATAGTATATTAACTTTTATCAGCTCTTTCATGTGAGAAAGTCTTGTTCTACTGAGAAAACTAATGTTGTAATAATAAAGGGGAATTTCCATCGTCTTAGTAACATGACAAGTTACCCACACGGTTGAACTTCAGAGAAGCAAGCTGACTAATGAGGCAGTAACTGGTGCTTGAGGGCAGCTTCCTGTGGGTGGGTGAAGAGGGAAATTGAGTTCACTTGAGCAGGCTTTGCAGGGTGCTGCTCTTTGAGGCTTGGGAAAGACTTTGGAGGTTGCAGTTATGGCTGATAATATGGCCGTTCCTCTAGATTCCAGACGAGATGATCCAGTGCATAGTTTGTGAAGACTGGTTCCATGGAAGGGTGAGTAACTCTTAAGTAGCAGATTTGCCATTTGTGTAGGTTAGTGTTGCTCGGGCTTGTATGGGGAGGTTTGCTGTTGTTCTGAAAAGATTATTACATGAGTCCTAAGGTATTTCTTTTTGTCCTATGCAAAGAAGTATTGAAAGTTTAATCACCTGCTACTGCTCTGCACTCCAAAAAACCTAAGAAGGCTACTACCTTTTTGAAGGTTACTGCTGCAGAATAAAATAACAACTTTATACCTGTCTCTTCAATTGGAAAGTTCTGCTCAGTAGAATCGGTGAGAAAAAGATTCTTACTGAGGCACATCATTATTAACTACCTGAGTGGTTCTTCATTCGGAAGAATGCTTTTTAAACTGTAATTCCTCTAAATAGAAAGGAACAAACTGTGCAGTTGGTTCCTGATTATGAACTTTGGGGAAATCTTTTAAAAGCAGCTCAGCGCTTCAGTGAGTGCCCTACTTAATGTGTAAGCATTAAGGATTCAGCCTCTTGTGCCTTGAAGTGCACGAGTGAAATTCCACGTTTGAAGTTGCCAGGATCAAAGAATAAAAAAAGAAATTAAAAAAAGGATTATTTGCTTGAGTTACAGGTTCTGCAGATGAACTGTAGGATTCTTTTGTGTAAATGTATGTATGAAGAGTGTTAATGCTGCATACCATGAGCTTTGCAAGAGTGCTTTTCAAAAGATAGCTTCTAATTGCCTAAGTAGTTCTCACCAGTTCATGGAGAGCTTTGGGACCTAGTTCTTCTCAAGTTCAGTATGAAGTCTTAAAACCTCTTAGGTTTAAGAAGATAATCCTGAGTTATTTAAGTGTTTAAACATGCAGTGTGCAATAGGTATCTTCATCTGTCCTGTGTTTAGAACACTTTAGAAGAAAAACATCTAGAAATGAGATAAAGGTTGGACTGAGATGTCTGGATATGTAGAAGGCATAAAAGGCTGTCAACAAAGAGGACTGTTTCAGTTCCCTGGGATTTTTATCAGCTTTAGTGAGTTTTATGCCGATACTCGCTGCAGAAAGTGAGCGGGAGCCTGTGCTTCTGCTGAGCACCCGATGGCATCTGAAGCTTTACTTCTCTAAACCTGGAGTTGAGTCTGTTAATTTGCAGCAAACATTTCACCTCTGCATGCTTGTTTCTTTTTGATAGCATCTTGGTGCAGTTCCCCCTGAAAGTGGAGACTTCCACGAAATGATATGTCAAGCCTGCATGAACCGCTGCCGCTTCCTGTGGGCCTATGCCTCACAATTAGCAGGTAAAGGATAGTAAGGTGCCTGAGCCAGCGTTGTGCTGGCGTGTGTCTCTTGTGCTTGGTTGACCACTGATTTAATGCTGTTTAAGTGGTTAGAGAAATTATATTCATAATATTGGACAGTTGCCTTCAGCAGTGGAACATGTGAGGCTGCAGTAACTGTTCTTAAAAAAAAAAAAAAAAAAAAAAAAGAATGTTTTTTTCCCCATTTTTTCTTTCTTAAAAAAAAAAAAAAAAAAAAAAAAAAGGCAGTTCTTGTTCCTCAGTCTTAGTTCTGTGATGCTCAGTCTCTTATTGATTTCATCCATCTAGGTGGTAGCACATGTTTGATAAAGATTTGATACTTGTCTCAAGGAACCCAACTTCTAAAATGGATCAAGAAACTGAGGAGCCACCTTAAGGGAAGCAGTGGGGCAAACAATTTAGTTTAAGGGGCTGTGGGCAGCAAAGAGTGATAGTGTCCTGAGATGAATGTATAAAACCTTAATCTGAGTAGAGCTGGGGCTGCACGCGGGACACGAGTTCCCTGCAGTCACACCCAGCCTGCTATGTGGTCTCTGTGGGACCAGAAGAGTAGATGACTTGATTGCTGTGGGAAGAGCCGGTTTCACATAGTCACCTATATGTTGCTTCTGTCAATTGCTGACGTGCCAGGAATTTCAATGGTCATTTTAAGGATTCCAAGCTGGCTTACTTGGAGTTCTCCTCCTTTTAATGTAAATACAGTACAGAATGAGGTTTTGTGTTTGGTTTTCCACCTCTCAACCAGCTATCTCACAGGGCACACATTTGAATTGACATCAAAAGAAAATCTTGTTTTAAACAGCATAGTTAATCTATCATAGAGCTTTTGGTGTGTGTGTCTGGAGAAAATGAAGTAAAGGAAGTATGTGGCAGCTACTGAACTTGCAATAGCTGTCAAAGGGTGTCAAGAAGGACAAGCATCTTGGTATAGAACTACCTCAAATTGTGATGCCCTTTTCCCTCCCCTCAGGCTTAGATTTTGGGAAGCAGAGTATTTTAGGAGTATGAGAGCTGAAGAGGGTTATGGTGAAAGAGGGAGAAGTTCCTTTGTATACCTAGGTCACTTGTCTTTGGATAGCTGTAGAGTATACCCAGGACCCTGCAGTGTTTGAGGTGATCCAGGTGCTCTTGGATGTCACACTAAAGCGGAGAGATCGTCTGTCATAGCCTGTACGTTGTCTGGCACAGAATTTTCACTTGGGTGGATGTGTATCTTTCAGTTCCCCCTTTGACCAAAGTAAACACCCTTGAGGATGAAGGGATTGTCCTGAAGGTTGAGGAAAGTGAAGAGGAGAAAAAAGAAATTAAAAAAGAAAGTGGAGCGGAACACCAAGAAACGAAGGAGGAAAAGCAAATGGAACAGTTTAATGAACCATCCACTAGCTCTGCGTCTGCCTGCCCAGAGGTAAAATGGACCTTCCCTGCTGCCCTGTACATCTTTGTTCTGAAGACAGGTGGAGTAGAGCCCACTTCTTTCTGTATAGGCTCAGTCAAGAGGTGAATGCCTGCAGTCTGTTTCCATGTCCCTCTTCAGCCCCTGACTGTTCAGATGTGTGGTCTCTGGAGCAGAGCAGGCTGGGGAACACGCTTGTAGGAGTGGGTGGCAGGGCTGTAACGTGGGCTTGCAAATGGGTTACATCCATCCCTTCTTGTCACCACTGGGCTTTTACACCGAGTTGCCTTCTGAGTTTGTTCTAACACAGGGGTGTTAACGCATCGTAGCTGCATTTGCACGATATTCCAGCGCTGATGTCTTAAACAGTTATGGCTGCTGCACTAAACTTCTGCAGAAATTTCTAGCAGAAAGTCCTAAAACCACATCAGAATCCTCATGTGTGATAAAATGTTAATATAGGTTGTTTATAGAAGTAAGTGTGTCTGAGAAGAACGACAAATCTTACATAAGGAAAATGACCTGCTGGAAAGAACGGAGCGTATTTTAAGGGATGTCCCTGAGCACTGACTGCTCTCATTTTAATTCAGGTAGTTACGAAGAGTGAGGCGCCAGTCTGCAAGCTGAAAGAACTCCAGAGCAAGCAGTTTTTAATAAAAAATACTGCCACCTTTTGGCCGTCCAACTGGAGAAGCAAGTTATGCACCTGTGAAGACTGTTTGGTACGTCTGTATTCTCTCTGCATTGCTGTCGTTGACATGGGGGAAATGAGGAGGAGCTCCAGAGAATCTTTGAAGAGAAGCTTGTAGATACATCTGTGTGAATGTTCTTACTCAGCATAGAAACGCCTAAAAAAACCCTCCACCCCACATAAAACAACCACACTGGATCCTTTGGAATTGGTACAGCACAAAGGAGCTTCTAAAGGATTGTATTTTCCTTTGCTGCTTAAATCCAGGGTTGCTTTGGAAGTTGTTGTGGGGAGATGTCTGAAATGCTGGATAAAAAATTTACATGATTATTTTTACTATTACTATTTGTGATACTGAACACAGGACTGGGCGAGAGCATCTCCATCTGAGGTTTTGTAACATAAATGTAAAATTTACTTCATTCTCCAGAAAATGTATTCAGAGCTTGAGGTCCAGTTCCTGACAGATGAATGTGACACTGTCTTGGCTTATGAAAATAAAGGTACCAGCGACCAAGAAACAGAGAGGAGAGATCCTTTAATGGACACCCTTAACAGCATGAACAGAGTCCAACAAGTGGAACTCATCTGTGGTAAATACTGCTTCTTTTCTAGGGTCTGCCTCAACAGTTAGGTGAACATGAGAGAGCAGTGTCAGGCCTTGCAGCGCGGTGATGTCACTGGTTTTGAAGCAACACGTAGAAGATTGTGTGGCAGGTCACACACCTTGGTCAGGATGACTCTAGAGAAGTCTATACTGTCTGGCCTGTGGTTACAGCTTCAGCCTATGCTGAGGAACCAGACAGATAGTGTGGGAACTTTCCCCCCATTTAACATCTTAAATACTGTATTGATGGTAATTTCTTGTGACATGAATATGTAAACATGCTTAATTTTAAGTGGGTAGTGGGGAGCTTTGTAACTAATTGTACTAATTCATTCCCTGAACTTCTGTACATTTCTCTGAAGGTCACCTGAATATACACTCAGACTGCAGAGGCTGGCCTGAGAAATTACTAAGCTTTTCATGTTTACCTGGACCCTGCCTTTATTATTGTTCCTTATTTATTATTACTCTTTATTATTTATAATAGAGTTCAAGCCTAGATTTGCCTCAAGTAACTCTAGTAAATGACAAGAGGAAATAGAACAAGTTGTCTTCTTGAGGCAGTGTTAAACTAACGCTGGGTATCTCCTGGGTTTTCTGTTTTCTTTCCCTTGCCTTCGCTTCTCCACCCAGAGTACAACGATTTGAAGACAGAACTGACTGACTATCTCAGGAGGTTTGCAGATGAGGGAACGGTAAGGTGCAACTCCCAGACTGCTTGACAGGAAGTGTATTTTAAAGTACTGTTGAGGGGTGGGTGTTAGAACATTTTTCCCCCCTGTTTCTTGAGGTTGCTGGTGCTGCGGTAGAAATTACAAATCCATGATTTGATTGGAATTTAAAAGTTGTGTTTCCTTAATGACATCGTTGAGAAGTAATGGGAATCTTACAGAAATCTGCCTGTAAAGTACTGAGAGCAGTTTTTAAATTGAAATAAAATGTCTATTGCTCTAGGAAAAGTATTTAGGGGAAAAAAGCTCTTAATCTTTATGTATTTTCTTAGATTGAGTTTAAACCCATAGAACAATAAGGGCTGACTATAAATATTGGCAAACGGCCTTGTCAGACGTTTTCTTGGAGGACTTGGCATGCTGTGATTAATCAGCACGTGCATGTTGTTGCTTATTTGCTAAATTGCCAGCCTTAATTGCATTGTAATGAGTCTGAAGTGAGCTAGGGAAAATCTTGCTTTGTGTTAATTCTTCTAATGATAGAAGCAAGTGGTCCAACCTAAAAATGCCATCAGGAGCTTTGCTTCATGTGCTTGGTTTGCATTTGGGAAGTTCATTTTTCTGTTACTGTCCTTTTCTAAAAGGATTTGGGCATTGATCCTCTCCTTTGGGTGCAACAGGAGAGCTGTTCTGCTAGCTGTACCAGAGGGATTTCAGGATACTCTTACACGCTTTGTGTACTACACATGGGATGCATGCAAAAAAGGATCGTTTAACTGAATTCTTGCACCCCAACTTGGGTTTCCTGTTGCCTCCCCAGGTGGTTAAAAGAGAAGACATTCAGCACTTCTTTGAAGAATTTCAGTCACGGAAAAGACGACGGACTAACCGGATGCAGTACTACTGTAGTTAGACTGAGGCAGTTTGGGTCGGAAAGAACAACTGGGAAAACAATATTCCCTGGCAAACAGAAGGGGCTTCTTCAGCATCTGGCTTCTCATTGAAACGCAGCTGTCCAAGAAACGTCTTAATTTTGTCTCATCCTTCCTACTTCCTTTCCCTGTAGCGACTGGAGCGCGTTCTTAGCAGGTACATTGCTCTCCAGGGCTGTCGGCAGGGCCGCAGGGGACGGCGTCCCGCCCAGCGCTCCCCGCAGCCTGCTGCCTCCACCCAAACCCACCTGGGCCCGGGCAGC